TGACAAAAAAAAAAAAAAAAAAAAAAAAAACACATTACCACAGTTTAATAAAGAAACTGTGGCATATTCAAAACTTGGGAGCAGCCAAGATGTCTTTCCACAGTTAAAGGGATAAGCCAGACAATGGAATATTGGTCAAACTAAGAAAAGACATGGAGGAAACGTCAATGGATATCACTAAGTGAAAGAAGCCAATCTGAAAAGGCTGCATACTGTATGATTCCAAAAATATAATATTTGGCAAAGGCAAAACTATGGAGACAGTAAAGAGGTCAATGGTTGCCACAGGTTAGGTGGGAAGGATAAAGGGAGGGATGAATAGGCAGAGCATAGAAAATTTTTTATTTTTAAGGCAAGGAAAATACTTTGTATGATACTTGGTGAATACATGTATAATACAATGTATAATGATACATTTGCCAAAACCTACAGAATATACAACCCTAATGTAAGAATAAACCCTAATGTCAACTATGGACTTTAGGTACTAGTGGTATGTCAGTGTAGGTTCAACAGTTATAACAAATACACCACTGTGGTATGGGGGAGGTTAGGGAGAAGGACGAGTGTCTACTGAAACTCTTTGTAATTTATGCTCAATTTTGCTATGAACCTAAAACTTCTCTAAAAAAATAAAATCTATTTAAAAAATTAAGGATAACCAACAAATAGAAAAGAAATAAACTATAACTTTCAAACCTAGCAGAAGACAAAAAGAGGAGGCCAAGTGTGGTGGCTCATGCTTATAATCCTAGCACTCTGAAAGGCTGAGGCAGATTGCTTGAACTCAGGAGTTCAAGACCAGCCTGATCAAGAGAGAGACCCTGTCTACTAAAACTAGAAAAAGTGAGACAGAAGAATCACTTGAGCCCAAGAGTTTGAGGTTGCTGTGTTGCTGAGACACTATAACACTCTACAAAGGGCGACAGAGTGAGACTCTGTCTCAAAAAAAAGAAGAGAAAAAGGAATAAAGAAAACTTTATTAATCCCATAGAATTGGCTCGGCGCCTGTGGCTCAAGTGGCTAGGGCGCCAGCCACATACACCTAGGGTGGCAGGTTCGAATCCCCAGCCCGGGCCCACCAAACAACAATGATGGCTGCAACCAAAAGATGGCTGGGTGTAGTGGCGGGCGCCTGTGGTCCCAGCTACTTGGGAAGCTGAGGCAGGAGACTCGCTTGAGCCCAGGAGTTGGAGGTTGCTGTAAGTGTGATGCCATGGCACTCTGCCCAAGGGGATAGCTTGAGGCTCCATCTCAAAAAAAAAAAAAAATCCAAATAAAACTGGAACTAAAAAGTGATGAAAGCAAGGTTATAGGGAATAAGGTTAATATATAGAAGTCCATTACCTTTCTATATACCAGCAATGTGACAAGTAGAATTTTAAATTAAAAACACATTACCGGCTC